TAGAGACGTTGGTGAGCAGGTAATGCAGGAAATAAAGAGAAGTAGTGGTCGGAAGCCGAGGGAAGAATCACGTGCACGGCGCTGTGGCAACTGCGGAGAGACTGGTCATAATACGCGCACCTGTAATATTATAGAGGAAGTATCTGAGGAAGAAATTTCTGAATAGTGTTTTTTAATTGGAGGCGTTGTGGTAGAGTTCTTACAATTTCAATCGCGAGTGTAGAAAGTTTTGGCCGGTTCGCTTGTTTGGCCGGTTCGCTATACATGCACGTTATAACTTATAATAGTTATTATTATTATTATTATTATTAGAAAGAAGAAGAAGAGAAGAAAAGAGGGTAGAGGGAGGTTCTTATACTATACCTTTTTATAAACGCTTCTTAGGAAGGTATATATTAGAATAATATAAAAGTAAAGTTAACCTAAAAATACAGATATATTTAGGTTATTATATATAGACGGACTCCGATATATTAATTATAGGGGGAGGGGAGTAATATAAGGGGTTAGCCCCTAGGTATAGTACTAGCTATACTAGTGCTTACTAAGTCTTACTAGAGGGCTACCTCTCCTTTATAGCGGAGCCCGAGAAGATTCTTTCTCTCTCCTTTATCGAACTTGTTAAATAATATATTAAACCTCCTATATATACGTTATTCTTCTATAATACTTTTCTCTTAAGTTATCGAGCGCCTAACTTAAGGGTAAATAAGGTAAGAGTACTTCTATAAAGGAGGGAAAATAAAGCTATTCGTAACTTTAAAGATACTTAAGAGAATTAAGTAGCTTCTAGAGTACCTAGGCTAGCTACCTCGTACCCCCTTACGTATAGGTAGGTGTAGCGAATACTCAAACTGGCTAACCAAACTTGGCTGGGTGTTCGCTGGTTGGTATGCTATGATAAGAAGAAGACTATCGGGTTGTTCACTTGGAAGTGAACTCGTTACTTGTATCAAAGATGTCAAACTAATATGATAAGATTGATAACTAAGTTGAGCACGAAGCTCCTATCTAATGGCAGACGTGCCAGTCTTATATAGAATCTTCGTTCTCTCTACATCGCCTACATCACCTGTCGATGTAGTCGACCTCCTATCGCTAACATCGACTGTCGATACAGGCGTATAAGATTGATAACTAAGTTGAGCACGAAGCTCCTATCTAATGGCAGACGTGCCAGTCTTATATAGAATCTTCGTTCTCTCTACATCGCCTACATCACCTGTCGATGTAGTCGACCTCCTATCGCTAACATCGACTGTCGATACAGGCGATGCGATTGATCACGTGACTACATGCACGAGAAATCCTTGGATCGCTTAGCTAGTCTAAGCATCCCTATTTGCTATAAGAAACCTGGATGTGCCTGTCGAGGGTTGCGCCTCTTATTATGACAAGTATCACGTGAGCACGTGAGTCGTGGCATCCTTAGGTATAGTATCCTAAGGCTCTATATCTGAGGTAGAATCTTTTCTTTTAGTATTTCTCTTTTTTTATAACATTTTTATTTAGCCCTTTATTTCCTACTTATAACTTTATAGTTCTTATTACTTTTACTTTAGTTACTACTTATTTATATTAGTACTATTATAGTATTACTATTAGTATCTACTCTAGGTATTATAAAGTACTCCTATAAGTATACAGTTACCATTATCTTTATCCTAGACTCTTGATTCTTTTCTCTTTATTTCTTATTTAACAACTTAAACTAGTTAGTCTTTTGAAGGTTAGTTATAATATACTTAACCTCCTTAAAAAACTTATAGTAGTCTATTATTCTAACTATAGTAGCTATATACATTTAAATAAGGGTTAAAAAAGTATTCTTAAGATAGTTAATCTTTATATTATTATCTTAGCTTTCTATACCTATATATAATAAAAGTTTATTAAATTTAAGCTAGTATTTATACTAAGGTTAACCTAAGGAATATTTTAGGTTATTAAGCTTCTCTAAGGCTTTTACTCGCTTATTATTATCTATAAAGGTTTTATTAAGTTATATAAAGAAAACTAGAGGGTCCTTACTTTATATAGTATCTCCCATCTCCTAGAAGTATCTTATTTAAGCTTACTTATATAGTAGAAGGGTATTATATATAGTATTCTAATAATAATTATAGGAGAGTATCAGTTTTACTATAGATTATACTATATATAAGCTCTTAAGCCTTAGAAGGTAATCCTAGAAGGTATTTATATAGCTATTCTAGGTTAGTAGTTTCTAGTCTCTAGGATCTAAGGGTTAGTTATTAGGGTCCGACTAATTTATTATTAAGAGTAAGGAGATTAGAGCTTTTAAAAGATTATTTATAGATATAAAGCTTTCTAATATACTTAGCTAGGTTTCTATTCTTTTTCTTTTAGTATAAACCCTTACTAGTTTATTATCTAGTTATTATCAGTATTAGTAGATATTTTAGAGAGCTATATAGAGTTCTATATCTAATATTCCTTCTTAGTAATTTTCGTTTACTGAGTAGTAATTTTCGTTCTCTAGTAGACTTAGTCTACTATCTACTTCCTAGTCGGAGGGAATATTTATAATTTAATTAAACTTAATATTATAAGAGAATAATATGTATATAAAAGGTTTAATAAAGGAGAGAGAAAGAATCTTCTTAGGCACTACTATAAAGGAGAGGTAGCCCTCTTAATAAGGCTTAGTAAGTACTAGTATAGCTAGTACTATACCTTCTTTTATATAAAACAAGGGGTAAGACTAGGTAAGACGAGGGTTACGTAAGGGATATAACTTAGTCTATAGGGAATATAATAGTAAAGTCGTATTATTCCCTACGAGTAGGCTATTTAAGTCGTAAAATCCTATTTTTCATTTCGCCCTTCTCTATCTGCCCTTTCTTAATGTAGGGTAGGAAAATATAATCATATTATTTATAATATAAATAATCAGCTTTTTTTTCTTCTTCTCCACTTTTAGTAGTAAAAATTTTGTAATAAGTAGCTTAGAAATAGGCAGGAACAAGGAATTTCTAGCGCTAGAATAACTCTTTAATAATCACTAATAGGTAACGTTCCTACTTACTCTAGCTTTATTAGAAGATACTACATAGTACGCTTGAATTGTAATAGATGTCTACTAAAACCCTTCAACTTATATTAGATAGAAATACTATGAAAAAGATTAGTACCCCTATACCCTACTGGTGAGTCTTGGTATAATAATCAGCTTTTTCCTGTAATAATGCAAATAATAAAATCATGTCCCAGATTACATAATTATATCATCCCTACCCCCCAAAATGAAATCTAACTCCTAGGCCAGTATTGCAAATGAAACACATAGATCCGTGGTCTTCTACTTGTACTTCGACGTACATCGTCTTTACTTCTAACTTAACCATTCTACATAAACTCAAGGCTGCGCTTTCCGTTTACCTCTCATTGCGCCGACGATAGTAGTGATGTCATTTCCTAGAGTTGGGGCTAAAAGAGGCAGGTGCGATGACTGATTTTTATTTCTTCTGGACGGAATCCCATTTCTCGAGAGGATCTCGGGCGTCTTCTGGTTTATCCCTTTGGGAGGAGTAAGGAGAAAATTTTCCTTCCAGAATCTTCTAAAGTAAAAGTGTCGAATCAGGTAATGTGCCATTTTGATAGGGGCGGAGAGTGTTGTTTGAATCAGGAGTCGGGCCCTGGGTTACTGTACTGGGGCAGCCCGCCGGGGTTAGGGACGGAATGATCCGTCATTGAATCGTACTGAGTGCTTAATTATGTACTCTAAGAGCATTTCAAAACGAAAACAAAAGCATCAAGAAACTGTAATTGAATTCATCGTTATAGCAGCAGTTTGTAGATACTTTTCTTCCGTTTTTGGTGGCTTTTTGAAGCTGCGAGAGAAGAATCCCATTGAGGAAATCCTTTCGTCGCGGCCCCGCAATGTCTTCCGCGAATAAATAGTTGCAACATGATTGGAAGCGTAGATACCGGATTGTATTAGAATCCTTTGGAAATTGCCATGTGACCTTATTTGGGGCTGTGTTATTTTGGCTTACCGCCAACGACTAGTCTTTATTCTCGAGTCTTCACAACATCTAGTCGCAAACTGTAATTTACTTTTCGCTTGAGCGATCAAATCCCAAGCAACCTTCGGTCTTTTTCATTGTGCTGTATGATGAGAAAATCAGTTCCAAGATCGCACACGGGATGCCTGAATTGCCGGTAAGCTATCAGCACCAGTATTTCCAATCCGTTCTAATGAACCTTCTGCTTTTCAAGAAGAAAGAGAGTCAGATGCGATATTAACCATAATGAAGAGCAACGAACATGCAATCGGTGCTTACGAGCTGGCTCACATTGCATTTGGAGTGAACGATCAACCTTCACAGCGGGACATGCTGGTTCCTTCCACGCATTTTCAATTGGAAAAAATAACGAACCACCATCAGAATCGCTCCCGAAGTATGAAACACGAGTTCAAGAACTTTTGGGTACAGAAAGGATATCTCGGTTAGTTGCTCGGTATATGACTTCAGTCCCATCCTAATTCTGTGTCAGGACACGCAACTACCAAGCTATATTAAAACCAACCGCATTAATCTCTTTTCAAAGTCCGGGTAATGAGAGTGAACGTCAACTTTTCCATTACTTTCGTCTTGAAGCTGCCCCGGATATTTGTGGCTACTCCAACCACGAGTTCTGGGATAGTTCGGTTCTATCATGGAGTCACGCAGAACCCGTCCTTCGATTAGCGGTAGTTGCGTTTGCTTCCTTCCACAAGAGCTTCATCTTCAAATCCGATTCAATATCATATTCCTCCCTCCAACATTACAACAAAGCTATCAGAGCCGTGCAAAATCTTTTGGAAGACCACAAGAAGCCATCGCTACAAATTGTCCTTTCTTGCTGTTTACTCTTCTACAAAATTGAGGGAATCAGAGGGAATTATGAGGACAGAAGGAAACACCTACAAGCAGGCCTCAAAATCATTCAAAAAGCAACAAGAGGAGCTCTAGACGCGATTGAGCCGGCTATCATAGAAACTTTCTCGAGCTTGGATGTTAGCGCATCTTGGTACTCGAACTCTTCTCCAACTCCCTGCCTGCTAGTCTTGACAACTGAAGAAGAGAGATTGGGAATAACACCATGTGTACCAACAAAATTTACAACCATGCGAGATGCCTCCTCGGCATCTTTAAAACTAGCAAATTGGGCCATACGCCTCTTCAATACTCCAAACACCTCCGTCGCCAAAAAGAAGCAAGAAGCTTCTCATCTAATGATGGGATACGAACGTTGGGAGACTGCATTTTCCACACTAAAGCAAAAGTACATCGACTCAAGCAACACAACTCACCTAAGTGAAAGTATTGCCGCGATTGGGGCGTACGTAGGGTACACAGCAGCCAAAATATACGTCTTCTCTCAATCTTTAGTCCTTACGTCCCCCACGGTCAATCTCGACTTTGACTCCTCTTACAACGAAATATTGCTAATGGTCGAAACACTGACTTTAACGTACAAAACTCAGGGTCCGGAGATATTGCATCCAAGGTCTTTCTTCTTCGTTAGGAACGTGACTTCAATGGCGGTTCTGGTAGCTATGAATACTAAAGATAGCGCTACATTAGATAGAGCTTTGAGGGCGATGAGGCAGTGGCCGAAGATTGAGGGGATATATGACGGAGATACGAGGGTGGCTGTGAGTACCATGGAGAATTTGGAGCTTGCAACAAGGATATCTATAATTGACGGACCGCTTTCGGAGACCTCTAAGGAGCTTTCGGGGGATGGTGGTCGTCCGAGTTCTGTACAAGGATTATTGACGAGAAGGATAGATGAGCTCTCACGTGTACCACATTGACTCTGTGAAGTTTCTATATATAGCTAAGTTCAGGAACATAAAAATGTGGGATTCTGTTTCAGTGTCTTGATTACAACCACTGTCCCTTAGTCGTTCTGAAGAAATTCAGGAAAGAAGTCGGATTATCTCACGAAACGACAGACTTTACAGTCTTTAAATTCAAACATTATGATAGTAATTGAGAACTTCACATGTAAATTTGGGGTGTAAAGAATATTAACGTAGTGGAACCTTCAAAGTCGCTATCCTTACTCGCAAAATACGTCTCAATTCTCAAGGTAATATTCGTGTGAATATATCCACGGAATATAATAAGAGAAGATCCAAGTATCGCCTTAGCATGTCTTCAAATATTTGATTAGCGATGGTTGAAATGCTCTTCAAACAGGAATTACCCCTTTATTTTCATACTAATCAAATGCGTATTGGAGATCTTGAAATATATTCACTTTGTGGATGAATCGGCCCAATATAGTTCTTGCTCACTATGATGATAGGTAAATGAGCTTAACACCAGGATAATCCTGCGATCTCCCACTAAATTCACCAAAAATGAGTCCCAATTCCAACCCTCAATTTTAAGACAGAGTAGAGTTACACTTACCCACGAACCAACACCACCGAATGCTGCTGCACATTAGGATTGTACTCTATATCGAGATCCTAGAATGTTTTACATCTCAAAAATGTGTTCTCTATATTAGAAATGAGGTAGCTATGATATTTCTGAGGGTTTACATCCTTATCCTAGTGATGCTAATACTTCGTGGGGGCGGCGGGGGCCTTTTTTCGTTTCCTAAGTAGCGCAGTTAACAATTTCAAACTCGGTGTCTTGGTTCGTCAGTTGGACCCTCTCCTCACTTACTCGTACTATGTTACCCCTTCCTGACAGCCAAATTCTGCCTTGTTTTATCAGTGCTACTCTGTGAAAATTCCTAGACAATCCTATATTCATACACTCAAGATCAGAAACCATGGACTCGCAACCCTCGCACCAATATGCTCGTGAGCAAGAACAAGATCCAAAGGACCTTGATAGTGAGACTAACTTGTGTGTTTTCGGACAGAACATGGATGCGTTCTTGGCTTGTTAAGTACCAGGATGAGTTTACTGAATTCTATTTTACTTTAGCTGGGACTTGGTGTTTACATCATTGAGGCGATAATAGTGAGCCAGCCATAGTTCGCTCGCTAAAACCATAGGGGTACTAAAGAAGCACCAGTAGTAATTCACTCTGAAATAAAAAGACATCCCAACGACAAGGCACCGCAGTTCTGTTAGGAGAAATAGGGTCCAATTTCGTTCAATAACGAGCACATTCAATCACGAGAATCAATCCTGAAAAAAGAAGTAGTTTACGGAGCGTATTTCTGAGAGCGAGTCTTACAGACTTAGAGATATTATTCACGACGAGAAAATACTCTTTTAGGGAAACCAGAAATTCTGTCATAACTACCAGCGCTTTTGGATCGATGTACATGGATTGTTATATACTCCGTACTCGAGTATTAAGAAAATCATATGAAAGAGGTCCAAAAGATCACACAGAGTTAATATCTACGGTCCCACCCCGCAAGTGCTAAATGAGGTCTTGACGGGATCAGAAGTCGGCAAAGAGAAGCCAGTCACGTGCGAGTTTGTTTGCCAGTAGGTACACCAGGGTAGGCAAGCAATGGTATTCTTGGGAGGATACCTATTAACATCTCGTGCTATTAATTGGTAGAAGAAGGAATTGATTTGGCACAGAAATATCTGCTTGGAAGTAATTTCGAAGACCATAAGAATTCAATCATTCCGTCCTGGATCCCGCTTCCTGCTCCCCCCCCCTCACCATACAACCACACCTCCAGGAACCGAGAAAAGCAAAAAGCACAAACCGCAACCAACTACCGCTCAAAGCACGACGTGCAACAAAACCTCCTTCTCATTGCTTTCTCCGAACTCCCAAACTCAGAACATCTGCCGTTCCGCGCTTTGTCCCCCTCCAACCGTCCCATTTTCGCATGCCGGCAGTGAGAAAAACGGTCTGTGTCACGGTTCTTAAACTGAGGATCATCAGATTCCGCCGAAGAAGGGGTTGAGAAATAGTTTCGGATTGAGGGCGCGTATTTTGCGATGTGCAACAAAAAGAGTTTTCTAGAAATTGGGATGGAACTTGGAAGAGAAGTTGGGAAGTTGTGAGGAGAGGATGGGATGATGTTTGAGGGGGGAGGGGGGAGGGATGTTGCTTGAGAATACCGGTAAACCTGGGATCTGCTATGTCACACAAGCACAATTCAATCGAGAATGTTAGAATTGCACAGAGTAATTATTTCCGGCGATTTTTGTTCTCCTTGCATATTTTCATTATTCACCTTATTCACCTTATTAATCAATCCAGTGCGTCAAAATTCCGGTGGAAGATGACCGTGCGTAGGAGATCCGAGACACACAAAAAGGGAGATTTGCTTCAAAGAGGAGGTCTGTGAGAGAGATAGTGGGACCGAAATGCGGCGCGTATATTGCGATGTGCAACAATCTTTCATCTGAAGAGATTTTCTTGCGAATCTGGGGAATCCGGGGTTGTCAAAGTATTCATGTGTGTGGCAGTGTTTATCAGGTTGGATGGAATGACTTCCTGTGCAGGCGATGAAGTGAACAAACCAACGTGTAGTGTTACAATTACCGACACAATACAGTATGGATGCTGTACGGAGTACAATGACCTGCCGATTACCTCCAGGCTAATGGATTTGACAAGTTAAAAGCCGCGGTTTTAGTGTCGTACCTAGGTAGTTTAGTGGGTGCAAACTTCACAATCCACACAATTCATGTTCGAGGACCAAAAGTTGAATATATGGGAGGGAAAGTGAGGGAGATGGCATCGTGCCTTTCCCTCTGGACCTTTTAGGCTCCTCGTTATAGACCGTGATCTCGCTACTCACCTAGTGTTCTGAGCTTCGGGGCGGTTGGAAAAGAGCAATATTGAATTCAACCCAAGCGAGGCCAACCGCTTTGGTCATGTTTTCTCGCTAGTCTCAACATGCTTTAAGGAGTACGCATTTGGGCTGAGAGATAGATGAGCTCGACCTCGCTTAACACGACCATAAGAGAGAGTAGGAAAAAGTTGGACCACAGGCGAGACATGTCGACACACTATCTCCTCCTCTTTCTCAGAGAGGCCCTACTCATGACTTCCCGTCAACTTCTAAACACATCCATATCACAGAATACGAAGACTTATATCCTACTCTCCTGAATCGTCGCTGCTTCGCGCATTTTCAGGAGATTATCTTCCACTTCAGCCTTCGACAGGTTTGTTTCTTTTAGCTATTTCAGGTCGATAATCTGACAACCTAAACACATAGGTTCTTATTTCATCTTCCTTACAACTAGAAAATGCTTTATTCCTGGAATCTCTGATAATCAAGAAAAGACCTTTGTTAGTAGATATACTACTTGCTAACATTTCTTTTCATTTTTTTTTCTTTATAGATTTGAGTGAATCAATCGAGGTAGTGTATTATCAGTGGAAATTAATCAAAGCTGTGAAAATCGCTCCTCTACGGGAGAGGGGTACAGTATGGAATTTCATGAAATCGTTCTACTGTAGGGAGAATTATTATAGACAATTAAAGTCAATCTCAAAATGAAATAAAAGAAATCATCAATGTTTCCCAACGCTCTCAACCTTTCAGGTGTCTACACAGTCAGCAAATTCATGGCATTGCTATGAAGAAAGCACCATGAAGTCTACGAAATAGTTTGTTCGAAGCGTTTATTCCGAGAAAGGTCGCCCACTTGTAATAGCTAATCACACAGCCATTATAATTATATTTTACAATTTAACACTAAACCAGACCATCTTTGTCGCTATAACAACGAATAGTTATTAGGTAGCTTACTCTGCTCCTTTACAACTAGCTTGCTATAGTATCTATAAGTGCTTAGGGGCTTATTACTGTAGCTAGCTATATATTCTTCAGCATATTAACATAGGACTTAGCTATATAGGCAATATGGATATATTACATCCTACACATATAACTTAAACAAGTTAATCCAGCACTCTCCGTGTATTATCTTACAAAAACGCCTAGACTCCACCCCCCCTCCTTCCAAAATCGCAGTCTGCGGAAAGGTCCACCCAAAAAAACAACCGGTAGATCTTTTTCCATACTAAAAAAACATGTCATCTATTCAACACCTCTACCTATTCTCCAATTACAAGTCATCACAGCTTTAGTAGCATCAAAAGAATCAAAGACACTGGGGAAAGTGCCGCTTTATAATAGTGAATGACTATTAGCTAGCTTCGAGCGTAGCTGCTCCTTCGGGACTAGCGTACTCCGCTAGCGTACTTTGGCATCTATAAGTACGTAGGCACTTAACTAGCTACACTTGCTCGGACAATGCAACCAGAGACTTAGTTATTACCATAGTAATATAGGTCTTTTACATCACCCACTTGACTGAATAAGTCAAACCAACAGAAAGTGCCAACTTCCACAGGTATATCATATATCCCCCTCAAGCACTTCCACGCCATCAAAAAAAGTGCATCGTTCTTGGGGAGGTAAGAGTCAAGATTTACCATAACAAACCCACCATATCCCCATCCCCATCCTCATCCCTTCTCATATGCTCTACATATCATTACACTTACACTACTAACCACAAACTCAACAATTTCACAAACCCCTTACTCCCTTAACCCCTCAATCCCTCCACAAACACAATCAAATCACAAACACAATACCCAAATACCCAAACACAATACCCCCATCAACTCGCCTAAATACCTCTGAGCCTCTCCTCTATTTCAACCCACCCAGCCATTGAAAAAGAAAGAACCGTCTATCCTATGACCTATATCTTTCTTCGCTTAGGTGGTTAAGCTTCCGTAAATCGTCTCGAAATGGCAAGATTTCGACTTCATGTAGATATCTATCTGAGAAATACGGAGGTAACTTTGAGGTGGAGATATGGAGGAGATATGAGGTTCTGGTTTTAACGAACCTCTCTTGTTTTCTTTATAATGGGCTGAATTCAAATATTGATATTTATTATCTATTATCTCCTTTGTGAGATGAAGGATGGTCCTACGATGGATTCCTTTTTTGGATCCAAGACCTCAGGATGGTGAGCTCCTCTCGGTTCAGGATGGGATATCGCTTTTCCATGATACTTTTGAGGCGAAGTACAGTACGGCATGAGTTACTTGGAGGAGTATGATTGTAGCCATGTTTACAAGGGAGAGATGGGTTCTCTAATGAGCAGAGTCTTGTTCGGTCATGGTGTTAGAGAGGTAGTAAAGGTAAGGGCGTTGTGTTCTGTTCGTGTGATCTTACAGGAACGGAAGTAGTATCCCGCTATGCGAAGTTGGTTGTCGCGAGTAGTCACACATCAATTCCCATATGGCTTTTATCCAGAGAATGAGTATACGGGGGTCATATTTTGTATCACAGATCGAATGGGAGGCTTCGAAGACTATATATATTTGAGAAGTGCAGAGTGTCCTCACGTCACTGTCCTCGTTGGTGGGAAATTAGTGGTGGATATCGTTTTCCAATATGTGAAGGAGGGAAGAATGCGAACTGGATTAATAGGAGTATCCGGGAGAGTGGTGGGTGATTAGTACTATTTCGTCCTACTAGTGCTAGAGTGGAAAGGTCGGTTGAGCAGATGGATACTGTACCCAAAGCTAGGTTCAGCCCTTCCTCCATGCCAGAGGTTGGAAAGTGAGACAAGAGAGAATGCCTATCAGAAAAAGCCTCGATCTCGTTTTGCCAAACCAAGACTCTTTTTTATCCGCATACTAAACCAACAATTCTATAATACTGGAAGGTACTCACTCTTCAAAGATACAAGGAAAAACAGCACAACCCGTCTGTTGTAAAATCCATTCATTATATCAACACAGGGTAGGTAGTTAGATAACTTATACATCATTTCCCCTCCTAATTTCCTTAGATCCCATGCACAATAAATACTAGTTCAATTTCACAATGGTAGATCTAGCAAGTATGCCACGACTCCTCAATCGGGAACGGAGCCTCACGACCTCCCTCAATCTTCACACCTTCAAACCCGCATTCCCAGTTCTCGCCAGGACTACCAAAAGTACCGCTAATATTCAATCCTCGATTACTCCCAAACCGAACCGTGAAAGGCAGGTCTTCGGAAGAAGGCTGCAAGGTGTCTGTTCCTACGTCCTCGCCTTGCCACCGGTATGTCCATTTGGAGTTATTTCTGGTGGGCCATTTGTTTTTGCCTAGTCGGAAACGCTCTGGTATGATGGCTGCTTTGCAATTCGAGATCTTGGGGCCTTTGGGGTTTTCCATGGCACATACGTGGCAGTAGGTTTCTTGGTCGGGGGTGTTGGTGCTGTCTTCTTCTTCGACTTCGCTGGAACTTTCGTCTTCGAATTCTGCATAGCTTCTCTTCTTTGATAGTCTGGTATTGTCGATTTGCGGGAGGAGTTTGGTGGAACGGTCTACGCCCTCATTCTCTTCATTAAAACTTCCTTCCTCGAATTCCACATGGCTTCTCTTCTTGGATGGTTCCGGACGGGGTATATGGAAACCATTTACATCCTCCTCTACTTCACTAGAGCCTCCTTCTTTCAATTCTCCATGGCTTGTCTTCCCAGATGACTTCGTATCATCGGCTTTCGATCGGGGTATTAAGGCACGATTTATCTCCTTCTCAAATTCGCTGGAGTCTTCTTCCTCAAACTCCGCATAGTTTCTCTTCCTCGACGGTCTGATATCGTCTATTTGCAGTCGTGATTTCGCAAATGCAGTTTCATGCACATCCTCATCATCACTTTGCGGTCGTGGTATCGGATTCGGATCCTCATCCACCTCCTCATCGCTAGAACTCTCATCCTCAACTTCCTCATAACCTCTCCTAGACCGTTCCAGACGTGGCTTCGTTAAACAATCACCATCCCCCCTACCGTCCTTTTCCTTACCCTCAAGCCGCATAACCCCAGTAATCCTCCCAAAATCAAAGTATGCAAACAACTGCGCCTCCCCATCCTGAGAATGGCTATAAATATCCAGAAAGAGGTCTTCCTCTGATAGCCTCTCCAGCAGCGGACTGGTAATCTTGTATCTGCCCGTAACATGCCATTCCTCGCCTGTGCCAGTCCCGCGCCGGAGTGTCTGTGCGCTACTCTTCCGCAAGATTTCGTGCTTTCGCCTTTTGGAGCGGTGTTCTGCTGGTGGCTCGGAGCTGGAGGGTTGTCTTGCGATTGTGTGTCGTTGGCTCCAGGTGCGTGCTGCGGCTTTGACGCGTGCTATTGTGTTCATTCTTTTTGGGAAGTTGCGGTTGTGGTGGTTTTGGGCGGGGATTCAATTTGAAAATTAGGAATTAATGATTTGCTAGGTGTCTGAGGGTTGTTGGTGATCTTGGAGGGGTGAAGTGCTCTGGTGTTTAGTCACTGAGAAGAAAGGGGAAAAGCATCATGTATGAAAACGCGAGACCGCGACAAGATACGCACGGATAACCGGGAAATGGCAGGAGGAGTAACGCGAGAGCACGTGGAAAATCAATCTATATTTGCTAGGAGATGGGAAGCCTGGTTCTGATGGCCAGATACTCACTGTGCTGTACAACCTCGTTGTTTTCAACTGAGATCATCTCAGTATTGATGATAGAGTTGTGAACACGGGTGAGCTTTCCATCGTGACCCTCTGGTGGAGCAAATTTACCCAGAACAAGTCCATGTAGAAAACTTGGCCGCCGAGAGACCGCTTGATATTCTTCCCAAGAAACCTTCAAAACGAAGTGTTTACGAGATGATTCTCCGATGGGTTCGTGATAGAACCGTGAGAGACTTGGGGCGATTGGAAATCTACTCTACAAACAGTTCACATGACTAATCCACATACCATATAATTCTGTACATACCATATAATTCTGTATTAAAACAAGAGTTGTATTCGTAGATGAGCTGATCTGGATTGTTGTTAACTTGTTTCCGCCTTCGCACTCATCAGACCAATATTGCCGGATACAGAAGCCGAAGCAACCCTACGGATTCGGCGGTAACATGATGGGGATAAATAATCAAGATGCACAAAACCAACAGCACAAGAATCCACACCGAATCCATTCGTACTAGATTCAAGTCCGAAGGGAGGCGAAGGGCAGAAATAAGCATGTCACATCGCGTGGTGATTGACCGCATTTCCCGGATCTGTTCTTCAGCCTGGTGGGTTGGAAGCTAGAGTCGAGAGTTAAGAAAGTGCCGCTTGGCGTGTTGTTACCGCTGCTTCCGAACTCGGAGATGTCAGACTTATCTCCATGAGTATTGAATAATGAGAAGGGGAAGAAGATGAAGAATGAGAGTCTCAGTGTGATTTGTGTGCAAACGGCCTTCGACAGAGATTCTGGTGATTTTAGATGTCCATCTCAACACCACGAAGCTGTGCAGAGAGAGTGCAGTGCAGTGAAACCAGGTCAACACCAAGAAAATTGGAGACCGGGGTGATCGACATGTGAGCGCTGGCGGTGACCAGAGATAAGGTTAGCAATCGCAATCGATACGGATAAGGCAGGGCTGGTCCGGAGCCCGAGCTGCAACCAGGTTGTCTTGTTTGGGGTTGATTGTATTGGGAAAGGCTGGCGCAGTGGTGCAGCATTTGGAATGGGATACTTTCATATCAGCCTCAATTTGAGAAGCATTCAAACACGGTGGTTCTTTTTCTGGTATAAAATAGTAGCATAGAGTTAGGTACCTTGTATGAGATTTAGTATTTGTGTTTGAATGGGAATTCTCGTCTCATAGAATGTATCTTCCCACAATCATCCCTTCTCCATCACGAGCCACTTCATGCTCATCCCTTCTCCATCACGAGCCACTTCATGCTCATCCATAGGTACTCGAGTATGTCTGGACGTGAAGCCTGAGTCAAGGATCTGATGTTCTGCCAACACCTGATTCGGAAAACACACCCACCTCACATGCACCGACAGGCCCAATCAATCCCTTGCCCTTTCTGCCATGAACAACTTGCACCTGCATCCACCGTCGGCATTTGCGGCATCACCCTCACAGATCATGACCCGACTGGCTATCAAATCATCGAAAAATTCGTTGCGAGAGCATACTGGCTCAGACGGGTGCTAAGATCCACAACTTGACTTCAGGGCTCTCGCGGTCCCGTGTGCTGGTGCGGTGCGCTGTGCTGCTGGCTTGGGTTGGGTTGGACTACTTTACTGGGCGCGAGCGGCGAGAGTTTCTTTCAACGGATCGTTCGGGACTCGTTTGAAGGTTTTGACGGCGCCGGACAATGGATCTGGATTTATCATCAGAGCTCACCTCATCCCTACGACCCTCCCCTGCCATGCCCTTTTGGACAACTGCATAACATTCACTGCGAGAACGTTTCCTCTAGCTGTCCCGCTGGTGGTGGTTGAACTTCCATTCCCCTTCACCTCGCCGTCGAATCACTCCCTCGCCGTGCCTGTGCCTCGATGCATCCTTGATATAAATCCAACTGCTCCGCTGGCTGGCCTCGTTGAGCCTCTCCCTCTTCCAATATCATCCTTCGATACGCCTGCCACCGTAATATACTCGAACTTACTCTGTCTATCACCTCATCAGACCCAGCTGGGTACAGGAGCGAGGCTCCATGTACGTCCTCCGCCGATTTCTCGTCGGCATTGTCCTTGTAGTCGGACTTTATTTTGCTGTTTCCGCCCTACGTAAACATCTCGATCCCAACACACACAAAAGCGAGGAACAAAAGGAAGACGCAGATTGGATTGCGACTTCTAAATGGTGGTTAGACAGGCAAGCGTGTCGGTGGTTGGCAGTCTGCGGGCTGGCGCATTATCACCCCGATCCCGCGGCGTTACCTTTTAGGTATCAAAAGAGATCGAACGACCAGGAACCTTTGGTCTTGGAGCAGGAGGAATATGCGAAATACATTGACTGGAAGGATATTCATGGTGATGGAAAACCACAACCAGGGGATTGGGAGGGCGATAGTGCTGTCCTAAAGGAGGTTCCTCAATATGTCCTTGACCATGCGCCACTGATACACCTGTACTCCAAGGAGCAGTTTTGGCCCTCGGATATTGCTGAACATTTGATGCATACCGTGCCCTACGAGAACCACACTACTCTTGATCTCGATAACAACACCCTACATAACGTATTCAACCTCCACGAACTGAATGAGAAGACGAAGGGAAAATATTTGTTCATGCAAAGTAGAGATGACGTTGAACAACGACCGGAATGGCTTTCAAGTGCCTATAATAAGCCAGTGCCTTATGATGACTACGAAGAGCCGGATGGAGATGGCGACTTGGTTGACAAGCCAATGGAATTTTCTGCGGAATCTTCGGTTTTATACGAGCAGCAGTCTTGGTATGATCCCACTGCGTCACCACAGGACAACAAAAAGGCAGAGTCTTTCGTGGCTTCCACTGAAAACTCGAAGCTTGCTCGTCCCTCGCATCGACTTGATCTTCGCGATAAGATGACGAAGCGAATTCCAGCCATTACCTCGCCAGGCGGTTATTCTCCAGCTCCCGTCATCCTAGTAATGGTTGATAAAGGAAATGGAATTTTAGATGCCTTTTGGTTTTACTTTTACAGTTACAACCTTGGAACGACCGTTCTAAATATTAGATTTGGGAATCATGTAGGGGACTGGGAGCACTCTTTGATTCGATTCCAGAACGGAAAGCCAAAGGCGGTTTTCTTCTCGGCACATTCTGGAGGCCTTGCATATGCATACGATGCCGTCGAGAAAGGCAAAGGACCGGGCAGAGAGGGACGTCCTGTATTATACTCAGCGTACGGATCTCATGCAATGTATGCAACACCCGGAAAACACCCTTATGTTCTCCCCTTTGGTCTGCTCGCCGACGTAACCGATAAAGGTCCTCTTTGGGACCCAGCCCAAAACTATCTGGCCTACCATTACAACACAACCATCACTCACAACGCGGACGCGCGATCGTTACAAGCTGCCACATCACAAGAGGAGATGAACAAACTCCAACCAGCTCTTAACAATCCCAATGCACCAATGGGATGGTGGTGGTACAATGGCCGTTGGGGCGACAAGTTCTACGAACTGGGCGATATCCGACAGTGGCGATTCGTCGGACAATACCATTATGTCAACGGGCCGTACGGACCGAGCTACAAGAACCTGGGGCGAAGCAAGCCCTGCCAATCGGGTGGGAGCTGCACGATCCTCGAGAGCATCGATGCGGGCAGGAAGAAGAGCTGGCTTGGAAAGCGGGGTCTTCGATTCCGCATCTGAGAAAGCAATCACCCAACCGGGATGTGTTTTTAGAAAAGAATGACGATTTGAATGATAGATGATATGACATGGCATGAGTAATCTTCTGGATTGGATTGGGTTGGGTTGGGTGTGTTGGATGGATTGGCGCTAATGGAATAGGATTGGATGGGATGGATGACTTCCACTTTCAAGAGAACAGGGAGATGAGCTGGGTGACGGCGTTTGTTTTGTTTTGAGGGGCGGATATACCATGTATACATACATACTCTGTCGCTACCCCCTTCTCTCCCTTTCCCCTACACTGCGAGTATGGGAAGCTGGAATGGGTGCGGTGTACAGTACATATTTTTTCTTTTTATATAGATAGAAAGAAAGAAAGAAGGGGAGAGCAATTCGATGATTCCTTTTCTTTTTTGATGATGATGAGATGTGTTTTCGTTTTTTCTTTATCTTGTGGAATTGTGGTTTTGATGGGAAGATTGATGTTGAGGGTGTTTTTTACGGGTTGGATGGATAGATGCATGCATTAGGGCGGGTGTGGCTGTTGTGGGGGTGGGGTGGAGGGGATGGTTGTGGGAATTGGAGATAGGTATGAGTAGGGGTGCTCAGAGAGGAGAGGGTAGTAACGATTCCGGTTAGCGGAATGGTTTCTTTTCCTTCTTCTTCTATTTGTTGTAATGATAGAGAAGTTTACTCGTCTTGTTTACTCGCGATTATAATGGGGATTTTTCATACCTGTCCTGTGGGTTTTCAACTATTGCTTGTGTTTGTGCTTTACCTTTATAATTATACGCTTAGTTTATGGGAGGGGTTAAGTTAAGATTCTATTGTTTGTTATTATTGTTTGATTTTTAGGGGGATCGGGTACGGAAGATAGGGAATGGGAGATTAGAGGTGTTTATTCCCTTGGAATTTTATTTATTAGGTTGGTTAGTTCTATTAGTAGATTAGGTTAGTAAGTGTATAGGGTTTTAACGGAGGTAAGTTAGTATGATAACAAGCGCAACGAACGCAAACACTATGTGTCACGTAAGAAATGAGGATTGCCAATGGTCCTACGCAAGTTATGTTCCATGATACAGCAAGCTAGCATACCATTGTGTGCATGAAGTAGTGTTTGCAGTGACAAACTGCATTTCTGTTTTTCGCCTCGTTTGCTTTGGGAAGGTTGAGCAATTTGAACTGGTCTCATCGCTGTCAATATACATTGAGTTTACCAACAATCTCGATGCTAGGAATAAGCAAAGTTTCTCAATTTTTGTTGTCCAAGAAGTTGCTGAGTACTGCCTTACTCCAATCGCAGTCTGCGATGATGCCAGAACTCAGCTCAACTGGTACTGATACGCCTTCCACAACGCCTCCAATACTCAAAACCAAAACATCGTTGGCAAATCTTCAATCTGACGAACAAAGACGTGTGCTTGACACAATTGCCCGTGTCCGAAAATGTGGCTTGGAGGGAACAATTTCTCTACCTCAAATCGTCGTTTGCGGAGATCAGTCTTCAGGCAAGTCTTCTGTTCTCGAAGCTCTAACAGAAATACCATTTCCAAGAGACGAGTTATTATGTACCCGCCATGCCACGGAAATCATACTGTCGAATGCACCAGAGGACTCAATCACCATCAGAGTTATCCCCGACCAAGAGCGCCCACATGCTGAGAAAGTTCGGATCGGGGCGTTTGAAAAGTCGATTGATAGCTTCGATGGCCTTCCAGAGATCATGAATGAGGCCATGGAATTGATGGGAATTGGAGTCACAGACGCTGATACCAAAGCTCCACCTCCAACATTTTCTCGAGATGTCCTTAGCATCGCCTGCGAAGGTCCTGGTCGTCCGCAACTCGCCTTGGTTGATATACCCGGCCTGTTTGGAACGGAAAATAGGGGCACCACAAATCAGGACATTGAGCTTGTATCTCAAATCACGGACCATTACATCAAACAATCTCGAACGATTTGTCTTCCTGTAATCTCTGGTGCGAGTGATTATGCCAATCAATCGATTCCGAGCAGAGTGAAAATTGAAGATCCCCAAGGCAACCGCACACTCGGAATTATCACAAAGCCAGACTGTTCTCCTGAAGGATCTCCACTTCAAGATTCTTTCATTCAACTTGCAAAAAACCAGGATATCAAATTCCGTCTTGGATGGCATGTGGTTAGGAATCGAAAGTGGGAAGAAAGTGGCTTCAACTTGGCCATGCGAAAGGCCATAGAAGAGGAATTCTTCCGCACCTCCAAATGGAAATGCGTACCCCAAAAGTCCAGGGGTATTGATTCATTGCGAAATCGTCTAAGCAAACTCCTCTTCCAACATGTCAAGAATGAGTTACCGAAGCTAAAACAAGAACTGGAAGATAAATTGGGAAATGCAGTAGAAGAGCATGAAAAACTCGGCACTCCTCGATCATCAAGCGCAGATTGCAAGGCATATCTATCCAACCTAAGCCTTGAGGTTCGGGATACATGTAAGGCCGCCATTGATGGACATTACGAGGGGGATTACTTCCGCGACACCGATCCAGACTTCAATCTCTCCTCTGCCTCGACCATACGCAGGACCCGCGCCGCAATTCAGTCTTCAAACATCAAATTTGCTGATACTTTGCGCACTCGTGGTCACAAATACCAGATTGGTATGCCACAAATCGCTGGAGATTTGAGCGAGGACTCCAACGATGGAGGGTCGTTCGGTGACAGTAAAGTTGGTGGGAAAAAGAAGAGTATTCAGCCATTGATGATGAAGGAGCAAGCTTTGGATTGGGTTCGAAAAGCAATCATCCGAAACCGCGGCAAAGAGTTGGTTGGTAATTTCAACCCTCTCACCATTGGGGAACTTTTTTGGGAGCTCTCCGAGAATTGGCAAAACCTCGCAACAGCCCACGTCAACGACAGAGCAGATCTCTGTACGAGATTTCTCCACAACTTAATTCGCGATAAGTGTCCCAAAGACGTGGAGAGTCGGGTCTGGGAGTTCAGAATGGAAGGCGAACTCAGGGTTCGTCGCCAGGCCGCCCTCGAGGAGTTGGGAAAATTGATGGAAGATCATCGGAATTGTCCCATCAATTATAACCATTACTACACGGATAACATCGTGAAGCGGCGCCAGGACAGGCAGAGAAAGGAGCTAGCGAAGCATGTCAAAGAGGCCACGACAACGGCAACTAAGACCAATGGTAAAAATGAAACCACGACCCATAAAGTGAACATCGAGCAGGTCGTTGCCAACTACTCGAAAGCTGTCAATCCCAACATGGATACCTTCAGTTGTGAGGAGGCTCTCGATTGCCTCTTCGCCATCTACAAGGTGTGTCAGCTTTTCCTCTGTGCCTCCACGTGCACTTGTTTTCAGAGATTGGTCTACTTACTCTCGCACAGGTTTCGCAAAAGGTGTTCGTCACGAATGTTACGGTGCAAGTCATCGAGCGGCATCTCATAAAGGGTCTTGAAAACATCTTTTCGCCTGTCTGGGTAGGCGGCTTGGAACCTTTGGAAGCGCAAAGACTGGCTTCTGAGCCTGTCGGGGTGAAGAACAAGAGGGAGCACCTGGCCGAAAAGATAGAGAAGCTTCAGGAAGGCCAGGAGATATTCAGACAAGTAATGTGAGTCTGGTTTAAGGGAAGAGGATGATATGTTCACGTCGTGCAGCTATTACCATTCAGATTACCATTCTTTGGGGACTCGCTTAGTTTCTGGGGTTATTAGGCACGTCTGTTCCCTCTTTAACTCGTGAATTTGTTTATACCAGTCGCTTTGTAATAGTGAATGATTATTAGCTAGATCCGAGCGTAGCGGCTCCTTCGGGACTAGCGTACTATGGCATCTATAAGTACGAAGGGACTTAGCTAGCTACACTTGCCTCGGCATGCAACCTCGGACTTAGTTATTATACAGATGGTATAGGTCTATTGTATTACCCATTGATTGAATAAGTCAAACCAACAAACTTAATAAAACTGGGTTTTTGGGTGAGGAACTATAGTCTTTGTCTTGCTGATCCTTATTGTCGTATGTTACTATACTTCTAGATAACGTCAAGGAACCCTTCTCCTATTCCTCAAATCTTCGTTGTCATTTGTAATGTAAACACGGAGTAAGATAGCTACATGGTTTTGGATATTGAAGAAGCTCAGGATATGCTAGTATGCTTGCGGGGAAAGGGAGAATGCGATATTAAGACAGTACTCGCACTTCGTTGTGAGCTTATTTAGAAGAGTCATTTTCTTTTGAAGTTATTGTAAATCTGGTGGACAAACCGGTGGTATCTTTGGAAGAAACCACATACATTTAATTTGCACCTATCTAGCTCATAGTCGAGAGATAAGTGATAGCAATACATCATAATGTTCTGGGAAAGGCACTTCGCCTTCAAGACCCATAACAGTATATTACAACAGAATTATCATTTCAGATAGAGTTCGTTAATGATCATAACCCACCAAACCACAAAATACATCACACCCCATTATCGTTGCCTGTATCAACCGACTTCCAAAAATCCCATTATCATAAAACACATCCAGTACAGTAACTAAGCCTCATCCTTCTGATAAACATCCTCCGTCTTCTCCGCCGACGTCTTCTCCGAGACAACACCACCCTGTCCAGCAACACTAGATCCAATCTCACGGAAGGTAGTCGTAGGTTTCCAACCAACACTCTGGCTAGCGACAGTAACCTCTTGGTAAAGTTCATCAACCTGCTCCAAGGTAAGGCCTTTGGTCTCGTAGATCATGAAGTACACGAATGCGATGCAGATGAAGCAGCATCCGAACCAGATGAAGAAGATCTTGCTTTGGAGGTTGGCGTTACCGGGTCCCCATTTCACGAGGTAGGGGGTGGAGTAAGCGATGGCCCAGTTGAGAAGCCAGTTGGTGGCGGTGGTCATGGAGAGGCACTTGGCGCGGACCTTGAGAGGGAAGATTTCTCCTGTCACAACCCAGGCGATTGGACCCCAGGTTGAGGCGAAGAAGAAAATGTAAATGCATACGAAGGCGATGGAAGCCTTTTGCGCGGCAAGGTTGAGGGCAAAGGTTGTGCCGTCTGTTGGGTTTTGACCGGTGGTGGTTGTTCCGAGCACAGCGACGAGGAATTGGCAGACGCACATTCCTACAGCACCCCAGAGGAGAAGGGGACGACGTCCAAACTTGTCAATGGCGTAGAGACCTGGTACGGTGGAGCCAACGTTGATGGCACTGGTAATCATGGTAATGACGAAACTGTTCTTGATACCCGAGTTTTGGAAGTATTGAGTTCCATAGTAGAAGATAAAGTTGACACTAGAGGGGAGTCAGCAATTGCTCATCGGACTGTTTTCAAGGATCCATCTAGAACTTACCCAGTGAGTTGTTGAAGTCCTTGTAAGCAGCATCCAGTGATAAGTCTCTTTCCGATGTTTCCTTTGAAACAATCGAGATAGGAGGACTTGCCAAGTCTCATTTCATATTCATGGTTAGCGTGAACTTCATCAAGTTCTTCACGAATTGCTGGATGATCCCCTGAAAGGCGACGGAGTTTGGCGAGAGACAAAATGGCTCTGTCCATTCTGCCCTGTTTGATGAGGAAACGAGGAGTCTCGGGTAAAAGCAACATTCCAATGACCAAGATCAATGACCAGGCGAATTGAACCGCGATGGGGATGCGGTATGAGCCCGAATCAGCTCGGTCTTTGGTGGCATTGTCAACAACTGCAGCCAGCAAAAGACCAATTGTAATAGCAAGCTGATAACTTCCGACAATGACACCTCGGATCCATTTGGGTGCAGTCTCAGATTGATAAAGTGGAACTAAAAATATGTGTTAGCCAAGGATTGGCAGCGGGAACAAGATCTTGGAAAGCTTACTCAGAGCTGAAATCAACCCCACACCGAGACCAGCAAAGAATCTCCCAGCAACGAACATTGGAATCTGGGTTGATGCTGTTTGAAGAATAACACCGAGGTTGAAAACAATACCAGCTGAAAAAATCAAAGCCCATCTTCGGCCAATCCAATCAGCAATTGGGGCTGCGAAAAGAGCACCAAAGAAAGTTCCAGCTGAGAGAATGGATACAATCTCGGAGGTTTGAGCTGCAGTAATGTCTGGTACACCTCCCACTTCATAACCGGTCGAGAATTGTCTCTTCCAGTAATCCATGGCGAGGATTCCTCCAATGGTTCCGGTATCATAACCAAATAGAATACCACCAAAGGCAACGAACATTCCAATGGCAATCTTTCAAAAGTTAGTTTGTTATTTCACTAATGATATCAGGTAGCCCTGGGGAAACAAAACTTACAGCTGGCCATGATCGGCCTGGGACGCCCTCGGGCTTTTTCAAAGAGATACCCATATTGTCTTCAGGATTTTCAAAATTAGGTAAGCCCTCGTCTGAAGACTTTATAAGATGCTCAGGAACAACGTGGAAAAGAAGAAGGGGGAAGGAAGCAGTTCTTATAAGCATAGGGGCACGACATGGTTCCATGACGATGTACACTTTCACGCGTGACAGGGACTGTGGCGGGGTAGCTTCCCCCTACCCCAGCCCTCCACGAACAGTACCTGAGAAGCGGACCCAAGATCGCCAACAATTGAGCGTGTTGATTGGTGAAGCCTTCTAGAAAAATCTCAGTCTCCAGGGCGCCTTCGACGTAGGCTAGCAGAGCGATCCCCGCCAGCCAATCACGACCCGCCAAACACCCCATATAAATTTAGTTAGTCCCCGCACAGGCATCGGCTCCCCCACAAAACTCTAAACCGCATGTGGGGATAGGGGACATTCCCGTTGACAGCTCCAATCAGAATGCGGGTTGATTCAGTTTACGCTTTCGCTCAAAAGCTGCCGGTCGGGAGAATCGGTCCTTCTTTTTTTTACACGAAGTATTTCCTGGGAAAGGAGGTTTTGCAAACAGCACTTTGCTTCAAAAAACTATTCTGTTTCGCCGCTGGTGAGCCAAGGTCGGGTTATACTCGAGTGCAGTACGTAAGACCAAGAATCTTAGCAAAGAGTGACGACATGCGTACCAAAGGCTTCGTCGTATTGGCCGATTGGATAAGTATTAAATAAGCCTCGCCACACGTCCTTGGAGGCTTATGTGAGTGGTAGTTGGTAAATGCCACCCACGTGATCTGCCTGTGTTTTTTTCTTCCTCTGGGGCCACGCACGGCATTTGTCGTCGAATGTTCGTTTAGCAGAAATACGACGATTCAGCAAGCCGCTCAATTCCGCAGGCCCAAGCTTGACGGTGGGGACAATAAATTCCAGAAACGGATAACTGCAAGGATTCAATCAAGAAAGTGGTTGGAGCATAAACAAACAATCAATCGGCGTGAGAGCGGTGATACTTCATCAGTCCGGCCGAAGATCCTCGCAATTGCAGCTTCGCCGACTCGCCGCGCGATGAGGGAAGCCATACCCTGAAGAACGAATTAATATGAGACGTACGGATAGAAATTCAAAATAGAAGTAACAAGACAATCCAGCGATGGAAGTCTGGGGCTAGAGCTGTTTGGAAAAGAAAAACAAGCCTACGCTACTTGTCACCACCTGAGTGTCTCATGGTAGACTATTTTAGCTTACAGTCCAACTTCCCGCGCACATTCCAACACCTGATGAGCTGATGATACGGCTAGGAGCGGTCGAGTCTCTTGTCAGCTCAGTGGTTTCTTTTCAGCGAAGGCTGTTGGAAAGAATACAAGTAAGAATAACGCAGGTCACGGTGATTAAACACAGCAAGGTTTGCGGCCCGCAAAATTTCCTGGAAAGTTTATTCCAAATAATGTACAATGTCCAGCACATGCATGTAAATACAGCATCAGACCTTAGCGAGTCCCCACTCCCCCTTTCTTCTCCCTATCAAGTTACTTGGAAGTACATGCTTTTTTTTGACCTGACTACCCCGAGATTCCCCAACCGGGTCTGACTATTCTTCTTTCGCCAATTGCGTTACCAAATTTTGCACTACCCTCAAGACCCCCTGTACGTATACCAACAGTTGGAAGTCAATCATCGCGGAGGGCGTTCTGAAAACCCTGATCGAAATTCATCCAAGCATAACGATCCCCAATGACCATATTCTCCACAAACGTTGCAAAGGTTGAAGCAGTCTGGCCAAACGTGGTTCTCGCCACAGAAATCACATACTGGGTCTTGTGTTTTTGAGTGAACGTGTTGTCTGCTTTGAGCTGTGGAACGACGTGCGATTGTTGAGGATGTCGCTCCCTCTTTCTTCTGTCTTTGTCGATACTCATTCTGGACATTGATCCATTCGGCCATGGCAGATTTAATTGGAACATTCCGACCTCGGTCTTCCCACAAGAGGTCGTCATCGTCTAGGTCCCAGTTCCGTATCGAGACAAACCTACCAGTGATTTCATGCTGAAGAACAAAAAGGTCTTTGAGACTTGTTAGTTTTGAAATCGAATGTCGAACGAGCTGATTAACAGCCTCCTCAGAATCTTTTGGTTGTTCCCGTGGAACTACCACATCAGGGTTCCAAAGTCCAACTTCCCACGGAAAGAGGGCTAAGGTGTGGAGTTCCTTACATAACTTTTCCATGAACGGAATATAGACCTGTATACTTTCCTCAAGGCCATCAGCGCATTTATGTCTGGGCGTATCGCTGTTTCGATCTGGGCATCTGTAGAGTTTCATTCTCCCTGTAAAGACCAAACCACCAAGTAGAGCAGCATTTCTCGGTCCAATGGTGTGAAGAAATCTCAGGAAAGGGTCGCAATAGATATAACCCTCGATCATTGTGACCGGTCGACGCTGGATTATTTGAGTGATGCCCTCATTGATTTCTCCCATCCACCGGCTTCCAGATGGTTTGAAAGGTCGAGGACGGTAGGTTTTGTTGCCGAATAGAGAACGACGGGGAAAATATAGTTCGTCGTGCGGGTCGAATAGATCGAAATCGAACTCGTTGTACCCGTAGAGTATCTTTGATCCATATTCATAGAGGACTTTGCAGGTTCTCAGGACTGTGGCGTCCAGTATAGGAAGGATAATCTGTCGTTTCATAGTGTAGGGGCCATCGGCATCTCTTTTGGGAACCCATGCAATCAACACATTCCTTTCGATAAATTGGAATGGGTCGGTATCCTGATTACGTTTTCGAAGTTTCTCTAATAATTTGAAGGAAGCGGTTGTGTAGGTTTTTCTCCAATTGCTCGTGACGGTCACTGGTCGAATGATTGCATTTTTGGGAGCAACTAGGAGTAGTTCCAGAATTCGGAAAATTATGTCTAGATGTTATTAGTTGAATGCCATATTGCCAAAAATAGAGACACTTACCGCTTGGGAAATTGAGAAGATGGTGCTTATCATCAACAGGTAAATTCCATCCACGGCCCCTCAGCTCGCTGGTATGAGCCACCAACTTTCTGTAGCCCTTCGGACTTGGTTTATTAACAATTTCCAATGTCAATGGCCTTTTCAAAACACGGTATGTCCGACCCCTCTCTGCAGAGTACGTCTTTGTTGTATTCTCAAACCAATAATTCGTCACGAAATTCTCCACATCTTCTATTGTCACCATTTCGTCAGGAAATAGGGTCTGCGCGGTCCTTACCTGGTCCCCAAACAAAACGCTCTCCATCTTCGTTGGTACAGAATACTGTTTTGACTCTGTACTTCTTCACGTATTCTTTGAGTGCCTCTTTGGGATCCTGGATTGAAGGGAAGTATTTGAGGGTCTCCTCGGCGAAGGATTCAATACTTTCTGGACCCCAATACCTAGAACTGCCTTGACTCCAATCCCAGTCCCTGATTCCTAGAGGATCAGCCATATTGGATGGCCACCTCGTTGTCTCTTCTTAGCGTCGTCAACGTAGGCTAACTAATAGCTTGCTAGACTACTTCAGAGTATAAAGTATCCAAGTACAAGGTTGCAACATACCAAGATTGGATTCACCAGGAGCCGTCGGCGCTGCTGAAACCTTTTGGTTCGTTGACAAGAGTTAGAGTTATACAAGAGTTTCTCTCACATTTGAAAATTTGAGTTTGAAAGAGGTTTGCTGAAGATTCCAAGGTTGTTCGTTGTGTTCTTGTACAGTCCTTTTTGCTCCACGATGTCCATGTCAAGAAGATGGCGCGGGATTCGAAAGCACCAGGCATTCAAGTCTCAGAAAAGAGCGGCTTAGGCTGTGTTCTAGGGCTAGGGCTCATGCTGTTTTGAAATGGTTTGGAAAGATTCACTATCCCATCCCCTTTTGCCTGTAATTGAGACAGGTGAATATTTTCATAGTCAAGAGAATCCTCTAAGGTACCTATTTTTGCGTCGCTTTTACGGGAAACATATCTGTAGCCATCAAGTACTACGTTTATAGGATAGTTCTTCTGATTGATACCTAAGAACCATATCTCAACTATCTCAAATGTTTTGAATAATGCCTCCTAACTTCCGAAGAAAGGATAGAGTGACACCAGCGATAGTAAGAGGGGTAGGCATCACTCTGTAAAAACCTCTCAGAATGTTTTTATCTAGAAGTCTTGTACAACTAACATAGATACATGAAGAGTTCAGATGAATTATTGATGCTTACTTTCTATTAGCTAGGGATAATAAGACAATTGTTTTACTTGTACTAGAGCTTTGGGATAAAAACCTCTTAAATGATATGTACAGAATAATAACCAGGTATCTTGGCCTCATCTAGCACTTTGGGCAAAAGAAACAGTGTTTTTAGGACGGGATTTACCCTCAAATACGTGATCTCGGCTAATCAAATAGTCGAATTGTTGTTTACATTCTCGAGGCTTACCCAATCATATGGTACTGTATCACATTTGTCGAAGTCTACATATTCGCAGTCATTTCAACACACGAAATACAGTGAGAATTATTGTTTGTGAAAAATAGCTATCGTACCTCAGCCGAAGAAATCATCCGGATTAAGAAAAACTCCTCCTCAAACGACCCACCTTCCGCTACTATCTCAATTACTTGATCGTGAATTCTGAGCCCATTGGGATCGTATTTTAGACCAATTTGTGCAAGTATCTCTAAAATGTCCATACTCGCCACAAAGAGCACAAAGATTGAAGCAATCACCCCAAACATGATTGTCTTCTCCACAAAACCCGCACTGAACCTTCTTACTCTTGGTATTGATCTTTGTCCGAAGCTGGATCTTCCGCTCGAGCTGTTCCTCGCGGCGCTTCTTAACCTTCTCTAGAGTTTGCTCCACGACCGGCTCATCAAAGCGAAGCGGAACGATATCCCATTCCCTATCACCGATATTCCACTCCCATTGCAGCACCTCGATCTTTCGAAGGCTGTTGATATGCCAAAGTGATTTCTCTAGGAGCTTCGTCATCTCATCTTGCATTGAGGTAACTCGCCAAGGTGGTATAACAGGAAGGTTATTTGGATTCTGAAGATTTGGGTTATTCGGGTCCTCGCTAACAATGAAACCGTCCTTGACGAACTCATCAGGTCTTAAGACAATGCTCAATACATCCACGGAAGGACAGAACTTATTGATGAAGTACGTGTAAAGTCGCATGCTGCGGTATAAGTCGTGGCGGCAATCCAGATGTACTTCGTCGGTGGCCCAAGGGTATTTACAGGTATGAATCTTTATAGTCCCATTGAAGCGGAGGTGCCGAAGTGATGGCGCGTTGCGAGGTCCAATCTTGTGGAGAAATCTGATGAAAGGATCGTAGTATACCCAGCCTGAGAGCATAAACACAGGACGTCTCTGCTCTACTTGGACGATCGCCTCCTTGATCTCAGCGTGCCATTCTTCAGGTCCTGGCTTATGCGGATTAGGATGATGAAGCCTATTGCCACCCGGCAGAATCTGTGGGGTAGCTTCCCAGCTGTGGCTGCTGGCCATTCCAAAACCGAATGTGTTCTTACCATAGAGGATTGGACATCCCTCTTGATAGAATCTTTTGCATGTTCGAAGGCAGGTGGCGTCGATGAGAGGACGAGTGATCAAGCGCTTTTCAATAAATGGGCCGTCTTTATCTCGTCTGTTGACGTGGGCGTAATCTGGGCTGGGTTCATATTGGTCGCCATTATCGATCATAATGTATGTGTCTTCGTAGGTGACCATTTCCTTGGCCTTCCAGCTCCCTCGGACAATTTGTGGACAGATTGCGGATTTCTTGCTTGGAGCCGTCAAAACGAACTCGAAGATGCGGGCTCGGATCTCTAAAGAGTAGTTAGTAAGCCCTATAGAGAAGCCTTTGGGGCTTGCAAAGGGCTTGTAGAAAGACTTACCTGGAGGAAACTGGAAGAAGTTTCTCTTATGACTTCGAGGCAATGTCCATCCACGCTCGCTTCGATGTCCCGTCAAGAATCGAAAGCCTTTGGGTGCCGGTCTATCAATGTAACTCAGGGGAACTGGTTTGTAGCATATGTGAGCGATACGATTCAACATTACAGTTGTCGCAAACTTGTTGTACTTGTACGCCGCTGGTTGAGGCTCACCACAGTATAGGTGACGAGGGTTATGGACATCTGTATTCATGAGGACTAAGCAAAGCTAAGAATGAATACTTGACAAAACTTACCTGGGCCCCAAATACATCTTTTCCCGAATTCATCAGTGAAGAAGACTCCCTCCGTACGGGTCTTTCTGAGGTATCTGCTCTCAGCTGTAGCCTCATCTACATCTGGATACTCTCGTTTAGCGGAACGCTTAAACAGCTCAGGACTTTCTCCTTCCAGAATCCTGGGAGGCGCCATTTCGGTTGCTAGTCCTGAAAGACACAGTTAATATCAGTCAAAGAACTTTTAGTTTTGGTAAACATAAAAATGTGTGACAACAACTATTCTCAGTATTGAGAATGGTAAAGGAAACATGACTGACCTTTGCACCTAAGACAAGGACAGTGTTACTCAAAATTGAGTTAAGGTACAATAAACAGCAGCAGAACTGTTTCCAGAGTAGTTGACACTGGAAGTAATTGTACAGCAGTCCAGAGAAAAGTATGTGTTGTTGTAAAATGAAAGTAAGGTATGTGGGCTCTTTGCCAAAAACCAGAAGTAATTTGTATAGAATATTTTGGGCTTCCATGGGCCCCACTCCAGTCCAAGCCAGCCTCTGAGAACACACCAGCCTTTCAACATAGCAAGACACACGTGGTGGAAACAAACATGGGCGGAGTTGCCCATTTGGGCATAGCAGGACATAATTTCACTTGGTGAATTCATGATGGTCGTGGTCCAGAACCTACTATGAGTGGGGACCTTGCCCATTCCAGTGTAGCAAGGCATAAGAGCACTTGGTGAATTCATGATGGGCGTGTTCCGGAACCTACTATGAGGCGACCGCAGGTAGGGGTACTGTGGTCTGCTACTACGTGAGCTGCCATCACATGTGCTATGTTCTTTGAGGACTATCTTCTCACAGGAGTTACTACTTTGGGTTTAGCCTCTTGCGTGAATACTTGTTAGTCAGCTAAGTATGTGTAAGAGGTAGACTGGGGGTTTCAAATCTAATCTGGGATTGGGCATAGCCTCAGTATAAAAATCTACTCAAGATGCAAGCGGATATTTTGCAAGCCTGTGATTCAGAAAGTCTTGTTCTATAGGAAAGCCTTGGGAGAGATCTGATCTGGATTTGATGCTTTGGCGTAATATCTTGATTATGTATAAGAGGGTTTCCAGTTCCGAAGAGTTACCCCCTAGGTACCCCTAAGGGGACCCCTAGTGACCACCTAGGGACCCCTAATACCCTAAGAACCCCCCTACCACCACCACTACGACCACCACCACTCCCTACCCCCACCCCTACACGAAACGTAAGTGAAGTGACCGAAATTTAGCTGGGCGTGCTATTTCGCCCTAGTCCTTTGGTGGTGAGGGGGGGGTACAAAATTCTCACACCAAAATGAATTTGTTAGAAAATATGTTTTCGTCGTTAGTGTTTTCTAACGGTCGTTTCTATAAAATAGGGTCGCTAGGTATATAAAAAGATTGGTTGAAAGAAAAAAAAAGTAACGAGTACAAAGAGTTTAGTTATTCCAAGTCTCCGTATAATATTTTAGTAACGACAACCGCCTCTTTCCAGCGTCTCGGGTATATAAGCTGCCTATAATATTGAAAATCAGGTAGTATACATCCCTACTTTAGGGCGCTAGCATAGTACCTAGGTATTATATATCTTCTATACTATAGTTACCTAAATCCCTAACCACGCTACTAGCCTATACCAAAGAGTATTAGGCTACGTACGTCCTAGCAGGGCTCCTCGCTAATCGAGCCCTCTAGGTAACGTTGGCGTCGACGAGCCCGCAGCCTCGGCTACGGGTACACGTTAGAGTCTAGGGATTATTGGCCGATAGCTAAAGTTTCCTGATAGACACTTAGGGGTAAGTCGAAGCCTATACCCGCCCTCGGGCGTAACAGGTGGTTAGTTTCCTCCTCCTACGGGCTACATGTCACACCCCACGACGGCCTCGCGGCCCGAGTAGTAGTATGGCGGACCAGCCCGTAGAGAACTTAGTAGGGGCAATTAGATAGCGCGAGGAACCCGTTTATAGCCTTCGCTCGCGGGTCCCTAGCGTTGGGTATTCGTACCCCTTTAGTGAACTGCTCTACCCTCCTCGGAGGGTATAGCGCGGGGCCGCTTAGCCCCGCGCCTCAAAGATAGTTACCTGGTTAATTCTACTAGTAGTTATATACTTGTCTCAAAGATTAAGCTATATATATCTAAGTATAAGCAAATTTATATAGTAAAACTACGAATAGCTTATTAATTCAGTTATCGTTTATTTAATAGTACCTTACTGTCACGAATCACGTGCTCGGCATGTAAATAAGTGAAGACCAGGCGGCGACCTGACAGGTTAAGCACTATCGAAAGCTCTTATAGTAAAATAGGGACGCTTAGGCTAGCTAAGCGATCTAGGGATTTCTTTTGGTTAGCATCACATGACTCGCTTGGATCATGGAGGATCATATGAGCCAGTGTGAGCCGGATCAGATGGATCATGGTGATCCATATGATCCATAGAGAACGAAGGTTCTATATAAGACTGGCACGTCTGCCATTAGATAGGAGCTTCGTGCTCTGAGCCAGTGTGAGCCGGATCAGATGGATCATGGTGATCCATATGATCCATAGAGAACGAAGGTTCTATATAAGACTGGCACGTCTGCCATTAGATAGGAGCTTCGTGCTCAACTTAGTTATCAATCTTATCATATTAGTTTGACATCTTTGATACAAGTAACGACTTCACTTCCAAGTGAACAACCCGATAACTTAGTCTTCTTCTTATCATAGCATACCAACCAGCGAACGAACACCCAGCCAAGTTTAGTTAGCCAGTTTGGGTATTCGTTACAAACCGACCTATAAGCGTTCGACGACTATTTTATATTTATAAAAGTATTCTTAACTAACTTATCTTATTAATATAACTATCTAATATTATAAAACTATCTTTATATATAAACTACCCTCCTTCTATTACCTAGCGGGTTTTTTCCTAGGACTAGATTCTATATAAGATACTTTAGTAAAAGTTTCTAAATAGTCTAAAAAACTTCGCTTTCCCCTCTAAGGTATATACAATTTAAGTATAAATAATCTAAGTATTTAGGTTATATTCTAGTATTCTTATAATACTATTATAGTATTTATAGCTAGTAGAGTATAGCTTAGACCTAGTATACCTAGGTATTAAGAGTAGAACTATAACGTAGAATATAAGCTAAGAGTATTCGAGCTTTATATAAAACATATAACTATACTTTAGCTATACCTAGAGCTATACCTAAACCTATTACTTCTATACCTATATCTAGCTAGAATTATATTTTAAATATGTATTAATTCTATATAAATAATCTAAGAATTTAGGCTATATTTTAATATTCTTATTATACTTTTATAATATCTATAGCTAGTAGAGTATAGGCTAGAAGCTAGACGAGTATAACTATAGATTTTAGTAAAGTACTAGGGGTATTAGTAGATATTACTTAAAGTTTATTATATAATCCGTTATATTTACACTCTTTTTCCTTAGTATTTAACTTTTAATTAAATAACTTATTATTATTAAAGTACAAACCTTAGCTAAGATATTTACTTTAGAGCCGGCGAGTTTATATAAGCTAGTATAGCTAGTAAAATATATTTATATATAATAAAGATTAACGTAGTCCACAAAAGGTTGCGCGGATCTATAAAGTACCTCATACGACATTGCTTAATCGAACTCATGGAATATTATCACGACAAGATTCTATCGCTAAATCTCGAAAACTTACAGAGATTGAAGAAATAGTTATCGTACGACATATTCTCGACCTAGATTCTCGATCATTTCCCCCACGAGTATGTTGTGTTGAAGATATGGCGAATCGTATCCTCTCGGAGCGGGGTGCAGGACGCGTTGGCAAGAACTGGACTTCGAACTTCGTACGACGACAACCTGAACTTAAGACGCGTTTTAATCGAAGGATTGATTATCAAAGAGTCCAATGCGAAAATTCAGACGCGTATAACGCGTAATTTCGCCTCGTACGAAATATAATTGACAAATATGGGATTCAGGAGGAGGATATTTATAACTTTGACGAGACTGGGTTTTGTAT